CTGGAAATTTTATTGCATTATACGGTTTTTATATATACTAGATTTCATTGTTAACTGAAAAAAACTTGGACATTAACCAGTGTATTTGGAGACCCAGTTCAAAGCTCCTGCACTAAATAAACTGCAGTTAAACTATTATATACTGTCACACTGTCACCAGCTAAAGAATCGAAAAAATCTCCATCCACCAGTCTTTGTAAGGCCTTTTTCTCAAGGCATGTCTACAGCCCACCAAACAGCAAGGTTGCCATGCTATGCATTTACATAGACATACCCTCTTTTAAGCTTTGTGTATACTATGGGTTAAAATGGCTACTGACAATGAAAGCCACGAAATTATGCAGCTGCTCCATTGGTCATCAAAGTTTAACTGCAAAAATAGACAAACATAAACTGTACACTGCATCTTTTCCAACCCAGTTACAATTCACTGATCCTCTTTTATAAACCTGCCAAAAGGTTTTATCTTCTAAATGGATATTCTAAAATAATAAAAAAATAATTCTAAATGAATGGTGTAAGAGCTTTTGGAGCTTCTCCATTAGTAATGTTCCCTACCCTTCTAGGTATCCTGTCTTTCACAGGAGATTGTTTAATGTAGACAAATTCCTACACGTTTGTATCAGCATGTAGTCATTAACGTAAGAACATATGCCACATTGGTTCAGACCCATCTTCTCTTCAGCAGCGGCTAGAAATCAATGCCCTGGGAAGAGTAAGAACAGGGCAAGCATATGTGATACTTCCTCAGAGTTTTCTCCCAGCTGCCAGCTATTTTCAGGTCAGGGAATTTCCTGAGATTGATGCTGCCTGTCTCTTTAGTTTCCCTCAGTGAATCTTTCTTCCAAATACTTGTCCCAGTCTCCCCTTGAATCCAGAATCAGTGCATTAGGTTTGTGCTATTCTTCTCTAAGAAGTATTTCAACCTCCATCTTGTTTCACTCTCTCTATGTAACACAGGCAATATTCTATATAGATGAATAGCACTGGTTTTACCAAGTTGTTGCTACTTTCTATTGGTTTCACTAGCATCACTGGCTTTTTCTTCTCCATGTGTTTAAAAAAAAAAGATTACAAAAAAGATTACATTGGGTGCAGCAGTTACTATGTACTGCTCACTGTTTTCAGGCATGCCTGTTCATGCACTGCTCCCTTTTCAGGCAGGGTAGCATTTTCTCATGACAGTGAGCCTCCAGAAATCACTGGAATTATTCATGAAAATAAAGAATGCTGCACTGGGTCCAAAGCCAGTTTTACAGACTGTTTCTGCTAGCCTCTGTTACAGAGAATATCTGGTTGTTTGCAGTTGCATATAAGGAAGTTCTGCAGTTGGGTATTTCTCAGTGGAAGTTCCCAGCTAGTATTAGTCATAACCCGTACTGAAGTACAGAACTGCATTTCATAATCTTGTTGGCACTGCTCTCAGATAACGTAGGCATTGACCGTACTGTCACTGAAGAGCTGACAGAAGAAAAATATTCTTAAGGAAGTTACTTACAAGGTAATCAAAACCTTTGGTTTCCATTGCATGTAAAGAAAATGAATAAATCATTCCTACCAACTTCAGTGTGCTGATATGCAGAAAAAGTATAAAATGAGCTACAAACATTGTAATTGTACTAACACTGCTTTTACACTGCTTAGACTGCACCAAGTCTGTATGTCTGCACTTTGATTAAACGTTGCTGAGCTAGTTTCTGGAACCCAGGATTTACCTGTTACAATCTATAGGCAAAATGCAAACCTTATTTGCATTGCATGGACTTAAGTTTCCACAGGCTCATCAACTAACTACTCTTTCTTTTGGGGGAAAAAAAAGATTCAGCCTCCTGTTCCTTATTGCTAGGGAACTATAACTTTCACTCTAAATTAATCCACAGTTCTCCTTTTATGACCCAGGAAAGGCATTTCAAGGCATTTTTTGTGGTAGGGGGAAATAAACTATCGAAAAAATCCTGTAACAACACGCAACAGTACAGATTTTGTCCGCACCTAGAATTGTGCCATACATTCCTTTGGAAAAGCCGACTAGTTCTGGAAAAGGTTTAAACATCTGACGTGAGCCACCTAGTGTCTGAACGCATGGCTACAGCAGGAAGTTTCAAGAAACATTTTAACCTGTTTCTGACAGTCTGTAGAAGCCAACTGGTATTTATAAACTTAAACCGTAAAAATGAATTGATTTAAACCGTTACTGAAATACAGTCTTTCTGCAACTGCTGCACTGCAAGCATATCTTAAAAACAGTCAGACTGGTAGATTCCTAAAACCTCAGATGAGAGTTAAATACACTGAAACACGCTTGTTCTTCCCAGTTATCTTGTGAAGGCTGCAGGTAGGAACGCAATTCTGCCTTAACAATGACATAAAAACGTCAAATATTGATGTGAGACTGAAATGCAGAAAGTGTTTGTTGGAATAGTTGTAGGGATGGAGATACAGAGACTAAAGAGGGGGAAGCAGAAAAACAGAAAGAGAAAAAGAAAGCAAGATGAGGAAGAAAAGGACAAAAATAACGAACCAGCGGGGCAGAACCCACTCTTCCTTTAAAAGATCACAGTTAAAGATCAAGTTAGCTACCGAATATAGAGCTTATACTCTGACTTTCACAGGTGTTTTTCTATTTAACAAGAATTTATTCAAAGCTTTGGAAGTTTCTAAGAATGTTAAGATATGTCACTGCTTGCAATGTACATTCTACCATACTTGGGGAGGAAATGCAGAAAAGAAAAAAAAATTCCTGAATAACAAAGATAGAAAAAAGATCAGCTTCTCTTGTGCTTTATTGTGAAAGAATATTACTTATAAAGCACTAAGAGAATAATGCATGTGACTTGAAAACCAGTCATGTTGCTATATGGCTGTCAACTTTGCTCTGTCAGGTCTAAGACCTTCACAGCAAACTTACATTAAGTACACTGCTAAAATTTAATAAACAAACATTTATTTCCTACAAAAGCACTAACATGTAATTATACCATTTCACAGATGGTATATATGTTAAGTATGTCTCTATTCAAGTCCAGGTATCCATACTCTTAGTTGGTTCATGCTTATTGTCATTTGTTTGCCACACCTACTTGTATTTTTCCTGCACATTACCTGTTTTTAAATATAGTTTCAGTTAAATCATACTTATGTACATTGATCTGAATTCAAAAATTGCAGAGCTTTTTTATTTCAATTACTAATTGGGATAAATTTCATTATCATTTGAAGTACAGAGTTTCTTGGTAAGACTAGATAAAGATTAAAAAAGTAGAAACTAAAAAAGGAACAAGTGGGGTGTGTGTGTGTGTGTGTGTGCGCGTTTTTCCAACAAAGATCTAGTTAAATGAAACCTGAACTTAGGTATCTCAAACAGCCTGTTAAATTAAGATAAAGGTCTCTGAAAGAGGAGATTGCTCCCTTTCTTGGGAACATGCTAAAGGAGAAAACCCTCTCTGAACCTTAATAGGTTCATTAGAACCTCACCCAAAATTCTTAAATTGCAGCTAACTAGGAAACGTGTTTACTGGCTCATTAAACTATCCACCTACAAGTCTCCTTAGTCTTAGAAACAGACCAGAACAGACCAAAAGTGTTGTTAAAGACTTATCAGGAATGGTAAGTCATAATGCAAAGAACTGTCAACAAAGTACAGCGAACAACGCCTGGCTCCCTTCGCCGTACTCTTCCTACGCCTGGCCTCCGCTGCAAGCTCCCGCTCGCACACCTGACAGCGAGGCTGCCAGAGCCGAGACGCAGACGCGGCCATCCAGGTTCTGCTCTGCGAGCGCGCACGCGGAGCCACTGTTTTAGCAGAAGAAACCCCGCAGCCTGCCTGTGCGCAGACAGCTGCTGGGGAGGGGAGACAGGTGAGGCTAATGCAAGTCTGTAAGGCCTCTCTTCCGCTGTCTTCACGACGATAACCTGTGCAAGCACATTACTCCCATCAACTCTCCTCCTCGTACACCCCTTCGGGAAGAGTTCTGTTCCTACATGCGACCAAGAGAAAGAAGGGCTTGTGGCAGTAGCAAAATTGAAATTGTTAACTGCATTTCCATTACAAGCTTATCTATAAAAATCTATTGCCTGCAATAACTAAATGCAGAAAAAATGTCACCTTAATAACTTACAAGATGCTTTAGAAAGTACACTGGGTACAATAAGTATAATCGTGTCACAGATATGAGCATTTTTATTCACAAAGACCACACACAGAATCATGAAAAGACTTAAACAGGAAGGGAGCTCTGGAATTGACGTAGGGCTCCTTCTCACCAGCACTGCACCGCAGACCCTGCTTGAGGGGGGAGGGCGGCAGCCAGGCAGAAAAATGACCCGTGATGAAGCCATCGCAGGCACAGACGGAGGAGAGCTGGGGGAAGCGAAGCGAAGCGAAGGCTCGGGCGAGGGCAGACGGGGCAGCTTCGCCTTGCGCCCACGGCGGGCGGGCGGGCGGGCGGCGC